TTAAGGTCCAAAACATGGAAACCTTTTTTTCATTGTCTTTCAGTTCACCATGAAAGTCTATATTGCCTGAAAGAGTGAGCAAGAGCCTTTGCACCTAAGATCCAGACAGTATTAGCTTCATCAGCCCTTGGAATTATTACATCACAGACAATATAGTATTTTCTCAGTTGGACATTTTGTTTAGCCACTCATTAATCTGAAGATCCGAGGGAGAAATACTTTATTTCTTCACATCTAAGATGCCAACAACTGTGAGACACACCATTATTTTATGCACCACTGAAAAGGAAACATGCTTCTGATATCACCGTAAGATAGACCATATATCCTGACTTGAAAGAAGTTAAATTCTGAGAAATGTGTGTTAGGAGCGGTGAGATGAAGCATTACCTGCCTGGCTATCAGTTCTTCATGCCACGTTCCAGAAACCTGAATGCTCAGGCCACAGCACTATCGTGGTACCAACCATTCTACCCATGACTAACAGTATCTAAAATTACCAACGGATTTGTCTTAGGGTGTATCTGTTTCTTTCCTTATTCGACAGATCTTTCTTTGTACCTAGCATACCTGTTAGACACTGTCATACCCTCAAGGGTTCACAGTCTAGAAATGTATAACTTTGGTTTAGGCCAGGGGTCACCAAGCCATGGCCCATGTGCCAATTCCAGCAGACCGGGTTTTGTAAACTATTGTAACAAAACCACACCCGTATGCTTGATTAGTGCGAACATCTGCTTTTATAGTACAATAGCAGCGTTGTCACAACAGAGACTACATGTTGCCCGCAAAGCCTACACTATTTTCTTTTTGTTGTTGTTGTTGAGAGTTTTGCTCTATTCATAAGCTGGAGTGCAGTGATGTGACCTCAGCTCACTGCAACCTCTGCCTCCTGGGTTCAAGCAATTCTCATGCCTCAGCCTCCAGAGTAGCTGGGATTACAGGTGTGCACCACCATGCCCAGCTAATTTTTTGTGCTTTTAGTAGAGACAGGGTTTCATTCACCATGCTGTCCAGGCTGGTCTTGAAATCCTGACTTCAGGTGATCCGCCTGCCTTGGCCTCCCAAAGTGCTGGGATCCCAGGCGTGAGCCACCATGTCCAGCCAGCCTGAAATATTTTCTATCCGACCTTTTACTGAAAAAGTTTGCTGATCCTTGGTTTAGGCTAATAGTTTGGGACTATAGTTGGGTCCCTTTAAAAACCTTCCATTCGAAACAAATACGCTGTCCATTCAAAGTGGCACAGACTGTTTAAAAAGATAAACTGGGTGGGAAAGAGAACGAAGAGGACAGGACAGACAGAGAATAAGCACTAGGGATTATTTAAGACCTTTGCTTCCTTTCTCTTTGCCTCTAACATATAGCCTTCTGAGTATTATACGACATTGATAAGGAGAGAAATATCTATTAACCTGACAATATTGCAATTCATTAGCAATTCTGGTACTCAGGTTTACAAAGGAAGAACTGAACACTTGTAGGTAACATCTGATGTAATGACAATGGACTTGAGCCATTCTTCACTAATCTTCGTCAGTGACATCCTCTCAACCCCGGCCCTCTGTGCTGTCATTCATGGCTTCATTCAACCAACATTTATTAAGCAATTGCTATAGGCAAGGCATATAGCCTGGGCACTGGGGATGAAGCAGTGAATAAGATAAATCCCCTACTTTGTGGAGTTTGAATTTTAGTGGACAAGCACAAAAACAGGTGAAGTAACTATGTACTGTGTCAGACGATGGTGATACCCGCCATGATGAAACATGAAGCAGGATAAGGAGATAAGAAGTGACAGTGGAGGGGCAGGTGAAGGGGCGGCAGGAGGCCAGGGAAGGACTCGCTGCTGTTTGAGGGAAACCTAAGAAAGAGGGAATAGGCTGTTAGGATATCTGGAAAGATTTCTGAGAGGGGAATGAATACATGCAAAGGTCCTGAGGCAGCAGCATTGCTGGCCAGGCTTGAAAAGCATCCAGGAAGCCTGTGTAAGTGAAAGGGAACAAAGCGGGGCCAGGCACAGGGGCTCATGCCCGTAATCTCAGCACTTTGGGAGGCTGAGGCAGGCAGATCACCTGAGGTCAGGAGTTCGAGACCAGCCTGGCCAACATGGTGAAACCCTGTCTCTACTAAAAATACAAAAATTAGCTGAACATGGTGGAGATCGCCTGTAATCTCAGCTATTCCGGGAGGCTGAGGCAGGAGAATCACTTGACCCCGGGAGGCAGAGGCTGCAGTGAGCCGAGATCACTTCACTGTATTCCAGTCTGGGCACAGAGCGAGACTCCATCTCAAAAAAGAGAGAACAGGCCAGGCGT